TGGCTTCTACCATTGCTCCTTCACACTCACAGGAAGTATCTTGCAGGCTCAGTTGCTAAAGACAAGAGATTAGAGTTCCAGCCAGGAGCAGAAGGGGACAGGAGGGTCTGGCAGGGTTCACATTCCCCTAGAGGACAACTTTGATCCTCACCCCAAGTCTATTTTTCACATTCTCTTCCCTATGGGTTCTTCCTCCTAAGTCTGCTCCAGCTTCCCCAGGGCTCTGGAATTGCATAGGACATGCTAGGAAGAGGAACACAGGAAAAAAGAGGAAGCGATTAATCATTATATTAGAAGGGAAATCAGGTTCTGAGTCACCTCAGCTGCTTTCTGGCAAGCTCCCTAACTGGGAACCAGGGTACTCGATTACAAGTGGTAAAGTACGAAAAGTGATCTCATGGGAAGCCAAGTGGAATAATGGCCTTTTGAAGGGGCTTTGAATCCAGTTCCTACTCCAGTGGCTGGAGAGTGACAGAGTGCTCTCTAATGATATGTAGAGATTCGTTGTCCAAGCCTGTGAACAGCATGTGCTCCAGCCCCCTCACAGGTTTATTAAGACCTTTTCCTCTGCTCTCCTTTCCTCCTGTCAAGGGGAGGAAGAGATGAGAAAGAGATGATTAACCATCCCCATAGTACCCTAGGTCAGTGTCCTACAGTCAGAAAGCCATATTACATACATGTACCCCTCACACAGAGCTGATTACTCCCTCGCTGGAGTGGACACATGAAGAGAGGGTAAGTGTTGTGGGTTGATTTGTGCCCCCCTCCCAAAAGATATGTTGATGTCCTAACCCCTGGTACCTGAGAATGTGACCTTATTTAGAAATATGGTCTTTGCAGATGTAATTAGTTGGGATCATACTGAATTAGGATGGGCCTAAATTCAACCACGTTCTGAGGATAATTAACTAGATCAGCGTGACCTTTCAAAGCTTGTTTTTGTTAGAGTGCTTCTAGCTTTTATTCTAGAGCTAGTTAGTACTATTCAGGTGACCTTTCTATCAATACTGAGCACCCTGGGTATTTTACAAGATGTCTCCACTCTGGCTGTTTGGAACTTGAATGTCTCCCAGCCCTGTGTGAGCTTCGGGAATTGTTCAGCCCTGAGCCTCCGGACAGGTGTTCTTCATTCAGCCTCATGCAGCTTCACGCTATGCATGCAGTTTGGTATTTAGTCAAAGACTCAAGGGATTCCTATGCAGGTTTCTGAAGCCTTTTCCTGCATAATTTCCTTCTCTTTGTTACTCTGTCCCACAAATTCTAACCGCTCCCAAACTGATCTGTCTCAACTAACCCGAGACCCCTTTGCTCTGCTAGGGTCCACCCTCCTTTTGTACCAGTGACAAAGTGCTGTAGGAAAACAGCTAGTGCAGTTGTAGGGCTCACTTACATTTCCCTTCTCTCGGGATTATAGTCTTGTGCTGTTATCCAATGTTTGAGAAGAGTTGTTTCAAATATTTTGCCATTTTCTAGTTGTTTACAATAGGAGAACAAATCTAGTTATCAGTTATTCTATCATGGCCAGAAGCAGATGTGATAAGCAATGGCTTTTAATATCTAATGATAGAAAACTTCTGTGCCACAAGATACCATAAACCAATTGAAAGAGGCTAGGAAAAGTACTTGAAACATAGACATATTAAAAGGATTCCACCTATCAATAAGAACCAAGCTTCCCAATTACCAAAAATGGGTAAAAATACAAATAGGCAATTAATTTAAAAAGTAATAAAAGCTACCAACAGATGAAAAGCTGTCCAAGGGCATTAGTGTTGATTTCTCAGTCTCTTTTTTACTTGAGGTTTGAAGCATAAATTCCACAAAATCTTAACATAGATTGAATTTTCACTTATGTATATACTCATGTTTATCTAGATCAAAACATAGAAGTTTTCCGTCACCCTGAAAAAAATCCCTCATGCTCAGTTAGTACCCACCCCTCCCCAAAGGTATGCGCTATTCTGACTTTTATCACTATAGAATATTTTCACCTGTTTTCCTACTTTAGGAATTTTTAATGGAATCATACACCATATACTTTTGTTCCATGCTTGTTTTGTTCAATATTATGTCTGTGAGATTCATATATGTTACATGTAGTTGCAGACTGTTCATTCTCACTGCTGCATAGTATCCCACTGTAAGAATATTCTATATTTATTCTCATGTTGATGGACACGTGAACTATTTCCAATGGGGGCTACCATGGATAAAAACTGCTATAAGCATTTATTAGTCTTTTTGTGGGCATGTACTCACGTTTCTTGAGAAAATTCCCATTGCCGTCGAGGTGATTCCCACTTATAGTGACCTTGTAGGACAGACTAGAACTGCCCCATAGGGTTTCCAAGGAGCGGCTGGTGCATTTCAACTGCAGACTTTTTGGTTAAGCTGAATGCTTAACCACTGCGCCACCAGAGCTCCTCTTGAGAAAATTCCTGAGTGGAATTGCTAGGTCATAAAATAGGCATGTTTAACATTAGTAGATACTACCAAATGGTTTACCAAAGTAATTTTATAGCAATCTGCACCCCAACTAACAATGTTTGAGAAATCCAGTTGCTCCACAGCATTTCCCACCCTTGGTGTCAGTCTTTTTAATCTTGGCTGTGCTGATTTGTGTGTAGTGCTATTGCATTGCAGTTTTAACTTGCAATTCCAATGACAAATTATGTTGATCACATTTTCAAATGCTTATTGATGTGAATATCCTCTTCTATTAAGGATTTTTCAGGTTTTTGCCCATTTTTATTTGGATTTTTTCTTATTGATTTGCAAGAGTAAATAGCTGAATGGGTCCTTCTGTCAGATATTTAGGAAAAAAAAAAAAAAAACCACCACCCAAACTCATTGCTGTCGAGTCAATTCCAACTCACAGCAACCCTACAGAAAACTGCCCCATAGGTTTTCCAAACAGCAGCTGGTGGATTCAAATAATCTTTCGGTTAGCAGCCAAACCCTTAACCACTACGCCACCAGGACTTGTCAGATATATATACTGGGAATATCTTCTACCGTTCTTTGGCTTACTTAACAGTATCTTTTGATTAACATAAGTTCTTAATATGAAATTCAATTTATCAATTTTTTACTCTATGGTTAGTGCTTTTTTATCTTAAGAAATGTTTGTCAATTCTAAGGTCATGCGGATATTCTCATGTTTTCTTCTAGAAGCTTGATTTAGCCCTCACATTTAGGTCAGTGACTCACCTCAAATTATTTTTTGTGCATAGTGTGAGTTAGGGGTCAAAGTCCCATGTTTTACTATACAGAGAGCTAGTTTCTCCAGCACCATTTATGGTGGGGAGGGCGAAATCATCCCTTTTTCCCACTGAATTGCACTAACGAGTTAAGTGATTCATACATTTTTATTCTCCAGGACTTAAGATTGGCACGATGTCTTCCTTATTTTTTTATAGAATTCACTGGAGAATTGTGAATTCTATCATGGAGTTTTCTTTGCAGCAAGTTTTAAAACTATAGACTTAATTTATTTAATATAGTACTATAACTTTTTCTGTGTTAATTTTGGTAAATTGGCTGGTGCTAGTTACTGTCTCTTAGATCCAAACACACACCCTTTGTGATACTGGGGTTGAAACTGCAACATTTCTGCTTTGTAGGCCAGCTCCCTGTTAGGCTCTGCTAATAGTGGATGCTGAAGAATGACTACAAGGCTAGAGGAAGAAGGGACTTGCTCCTTCTTATGGACTGTCTTCTTGCACTTCCTTCCTGTTATCAGTAGTGGAATTCAGTGTGGAGTTTTTTCAATACTCACAGAACCAAATTTCTTTGTGCCCCACCCCACCCCACCCCACCCCACCACATCCTTTTTCAGCTGGCAGTGTCCCCTCTTCAAGAGGGCTGTTTCAGACCCAAGGGCCCCTGATCCAAGCTTTTAATAATTCCAACCTCTTGCCTTATTCTCTCAGCCTTCGGTTTTATAGTTACTGCAGTTTCTTATCTCCAGAATACCTTAGAATTCTCTTATTAATCCTTTCAGATATCTATCTGGTCAATCATTTTCACCTGATTAGTAATTCTTCATATTAAATTATTTCTGTTTAAGTAACTGGTGTGATTTCTGCATCCTGACTGGAAGCTGATACACTGACCTAATATCCAGAACATAGAGATAACCGGCACATAAGCAAACCCTATGGCCCAATAGACAGAAATACATACACATGCCCACCAAGACTCAGAAATGTTCACAGCAGTATTCTTTTTAATAGTCAAAAACAGGAAACTACCCAAATGCCCATCAAAAGTTGAATGGATAAATCGTGTCATATTCACACAAAGTGAAATACAGGAATTAAAACAATCTCTACACAAAATTTTGGACTAATCTCACAATGTTAAGGAAAACCACTCATAAAGGTGTACATACGATTCTATCTATAAAGCAACAAAAATAAGACAATCAGGATAGCAGTCAGTCTTGGGGAAGGTAGAGTGGGAGAGATAAAAACTAGAAGGGAGATTAGAGCCTCTGCGGGACTGGTAATGTTCTTGATTTCTTGATTTGTGCTGGAGTATGGTCTCCATTTTAGAAACAAACAAAAACCCCGACCTTTCACCAACTCTCAAGCTACTGCTCTTTCAGTTCTACAGTTCTGCCCCCACCGTTATTACTGAAATTGCTCTCACCAAGGTCAATGATAACCTGATTGCATATTTAAGAAACCATTATTTTTCTGTTCTCTTCTTACTCAGCAGCATAACTGTTCTCCACTCTTCTTAAATGCTGTCTTCAAAGACACACTCTGCTGGTCTTCCTTCATTGTCCATCTCTTTTCTCACTCTATCTCTATGGGTAATCTTATATATTCCTATCACTTTAATTACATCTATTTGCTAAGGACTCTCAACTATTTCTAGTTCAAATTTCTCTTGAGCTTCAGATAGTTATCTGCCAATGGATGATCTCCATTTGGATTCATTCACATAGCTCCTCTAGAATTCTCTTTTAGTGACTGACACCATCTTCCACTAGGCTGCCTAACTAAAAAAAAAAAAAAAAACTGTTTTACTTGTCCATATCCAATTTTACTGGCCATATCCAATTAATCGTCTATTGACTTTACCTCTGAAAGATAACTCAAATCTACCCATTTCTCTCATCCCATTGCTATTCTAGTTCATTTACATTTAATTTTATATATAATCAGTTTTTTAGAATGATGAACAGATCAAAATGGTGAATGTGCCAAAGAAATCATTAAGGTGTGTATGAATTCCAAAGCAATACTTAGTATTATTTCCAAATGATATAGCATCACCAAACTAAATATCTATACAACCTCTCAGATTACGATGGTAGTTATGGTAGCCAAACTCCAAGATTAGCCTAAATGATCCCCGCCTCCTAATATTCACACCCTTGCGCAGTCCCTTCCTACATTTTACCAGGGTTGACCTGTGTGACCAACGGGGTATGGCAAGAGTAAAGGTATGTCATTTCCAAGATTAGGTTATGTAAAAACACTAGCTTTGGTCTTGGGTGCGCTCTCTTGGATCACTCTGGGAGAAGCCAGCTGTCCTGCCATAAGGGCACTCATAACCTATAAAATCTCCAGCTTACAGCCAGTGAGGAACTGAGGCCTGTCAACTACATTGTGAGCTTGGAAGCAGATTGTTTCAGTTGAGTCTTCAGATTCTGCAGCCCTGGCTGACAACCTGACTGCAGTGTCATGAGACCTTGAGCCAGAACCACTCAGCTAAGCCACGCCTGAATTCCTGACCCACAGAAACCATGCAATAATTGTTTTACATTCAGTTTTGAAATAACTTGTTAAATAGCAATAGTTAACTGATACAGTAGTTTAAATCCCATATAAGCATGTATTAGATAACTGTAAAATAAGGAGCCCTAGTGGCATAATACCAATTTTATAAAGTGATATGAAAAATGTATTTCTCCTTGCAGTCAAACCATAAACTGTAATAACAACAAAAACTCTAACTATTCCTGTTACTAGGGCAATAAAACAATTATACCTTACATCTCTTTCTCATTTCAAATTATTCACTGTCACAAAATCCATGTGCTAAATTCTGGACAATAAAGTCAGTAGTGGTCTAGTATAAAAGCATTTGATGAGGATCAAATTTTCATAATCAGCTTTAATTTACTCCAAAGAAGCTCTGATAAACTTTTGGTTCTTTGCTAACAAGGATTAAACATTACTAATTTCCCTCAATAAGATAAATAATGATACTTAAACTGCCAATATAATTATATTATTAGTTAACTGGAATAGTCAAATGCTTTATTTTTTAACTACTTCCCAAAACAATGCCCCAAGACAAGTTTAAAGTATTTCTCAAACTGCATCCATGTACTGCAAAGCATTATACCTGGCTCAGAAGAGGTATACAATATTTAAGTGGGTAGCAAATTTTTTTAAGTAATTTCAAAACACTCCCAATATAACATAAATGCCATCAAATGTCAGTTAAGCTAATGAGGACGTACAGAATAACATGGATACCCTTCACCCCCACCCAAAACTCCATGTCTGCTTTTCTTCCTCCTTCCCAAATCTTTGGTGGGAAGATGGCATGTGAACTCGGAAAAGCTCTCCATGACTGCCAATCAAGGTGAGAAATTAACCACATGTGTTTATAGCCTCTTCCTGCTGAGACTATATCACTGATAAGGGAATAAAAAGTGTTTTAACACAATGACACAAGAGAATGGCAGAAGAGTAAGACATCAAAGGACAAAATATTTCCAAAAATTTGTGGAAGATGTAAAACAGATCAAGAAGTGGAAAATGAATTAGCAAAGTTAAAGAAGGCTCAACTTAAATGACTGCAGAGAAAGATTAAAACTAGAAGTAAGCTACTTCACCCTAAAGACCCCTGAGAAGTTTGGAACTTAGAGGCAACACTCAATGTTGTGGAAGAAGCAGGCCTGGACACAGGAGAACTGGTTTAAAGTATACATAGAAAGAGCTGGCTTTTAGATTCCCCTCTGCCATATCACATGTAATCAGACCTATCATTTCCCCCCGGCTGTACAAACTGGAGAAGATTGTTAACTTCTCTGAGCATCAATTTCCTCATTTGTAATGAGAGGATAATAAAACACCTACTTCATAAGATTACTGGGTGGATTAAGTGAGTTAATACATACCAAGCTCATAGAGCAGTACCTAGCACATTGTAAGCATGTAATCAACTATGTTATTTTAAGCTTTTGATGCTATTTGCTTTCTAATTAACTACAGTGTACATATTACTTTGAGAATCACTAATTAAAATGGGAAGGGACATATGAAGGACAGAAACAGCAATTCCATCCTCTGAGCACAGCTTCATGATGAAAAAAACCACAGTGACCTGTTTACTTAGTCTCAAAGCAAGACTAATAATCAAGAGTGCTGTATTTAAGTACTAAGATAGTAAAACTAAGGCACGGGTGGGGGGACGGGAGCAGACACTGAAAAGTAGTTACTGTATTCTAGGGGATAGGAGAGGTGTCCCTGAGAATTTCCCTGTCATTCTGTGAGTTAATGGCTATACACTGCTTGTTTATGAACAAACAAGGACTTGATAACTATGATGATTAGAAATAAAACATAGAAGAAGAGACTGAAACGAGAACTAAAAAGTCAATAATTTATAAATACCACATAAGAAAAGTTATCTGGAAAAAAAAAGAGATGTTATCAGGATATTGTATACAACTATCTGAAAAACATTTATTGCAATGACAAAACTAGAGGTTAATTACTATTTTTATTATTGAATTATATTGTAAAGTCTTAACTACTACGTCGACAATTTAATCAGAAGAAATGCCTTTTGCATTTACATCAAAGACACATTTACTCTAGCGGCAAAACACAGACACAGACAAAAGACCAAGCACATGGTTTTTTTTTTTTTTTTTTTTTTAAAAAAAAAAAAGAAAAAAAAAAAAAAAAGACTACGGGTTTTACCTGGTCCTACTTTTGCTACTCTGGACCATACTTTTACTACTAGAAAACTGTTCTTACATACATGTTAAGTCTGATTAATCTTCCCATATTTTTAAACATTAAATGCAGCTTCTCAAAATTTCTAAGTTATAAACAAAAGATTAAAAAACAATACAGGAAACAAAGTTTAAAAACAAAGTAAGCACAGATTTGCTATTACCCTAGAGTGGAAAGGTTGAGTAAAATGTGCCCTCTTTGTGGCTCATCTCAAAGAAACATTTCTACTCAGAAGAGGCAAACATTTCTGATCTAGGAGGAAGTTTCTCATGCCCCCTGCAAGACCAGACCTACAAGTGTTTCTGCTTTCAACTGCAAAGTAAGTGAAAATGTCTATAAAATATCTACAAGCTAAATATCAGAATAGGACTAATTCAAATAAAAATTGGGTGCCAGTCTAAATATACATCTTCAGCTTTTTCCTTTTTTAGAAGTATCACTTTTATTTCAGATGATATGTAAAAATAACTTACATTTTTAATGTGCTTTATGGTCAGTGAGTGTAAATTTGAAACTCAAATGATTAAGTTTAAAATTTTTGTTTCACTTGATTCTATTGAAATTTCAATTATCTACTATTTTATTTAGCCAAGCTAAACATGAGGTAAGTTTCAGCTAAAAAAAAAATCAACCACAAAGATAACCACTTCAAGAGTACACAAAATCATAATGCCCTTCTCAGAGTTTACAACTTTACCCATTAACTACTGTGCATTCAAGAAAAAGTTTTACTATGCAATTTAAAAGCTAATACTTTTTGCACTCTTAAATCAAATTACATTGGGAAATGTAGGGCAAAAACTTGGCAAAATTTGTTTTTGGTAACAGAAGACAAAGCAAAAATAAACCCAAATGGAACATAAGACCAGTGTTTAAAGTTTCTAACTTCTAAACAAACACACACACACATACTTATTTATCTAAAAAATATTTTGGTAGCAAATTAAGATTGACAGAATGACTGCTTTGCTGTAAATAAAGAGCACAAATTTCCAATTATGGCCTTATAGCTGAGAGTTTTTGAAAACATGTACAGCCCAACCGTTTTCCAAAACGTATATACGTTGCACTAAAAGATCCCTGCTAAAAAAATCAACTGTATTTAAATGGGTTTTTAGGACTTTCATGATACTAGAAATCTTTTAAAAACTGAGTATGACAGGGCTACAATACCATTACTGTTAATAAAAGTTACAGAAGAGATTATTGCTGTACTTGCCCCATAAACACCATCAAACTGTGGCAGTTACAAAAAGTGCAACCCCAAATTACTTTTCCTCTTACTGAATTTCATTATGTTTAACGTCTCTAAAGTTTTTATTCAGCAGAGAATGAATCTTAAAATCTTTTCCATAAGAATTCAAAGTATTTAAATGTGTAGCTTCACATTACGCCACCACATTTTGCCCTTGTTTCCCAAATACACAAAAACAATATACATTTTTCTCAAAAATGAAATAAGATGTCCACATTAAAAAAATAAAGCCTACAAAAAAGTTCCAGAGCTAAAAAAGATTATTCATACGGCACAAAGTGATCTCCTACTAGTCCAAAGTCCAAAACATTTCAGTGAAGTCCATTTATATTTATATATCTTGTTTGCTTTTCAATGGAATACTACATTTATCGAGGTGAATCACATTATTTTTAGTTCTTGAGTCAACAAGTATACACAATTTTTTTTTATACAGTTATTAAAAATAGGAGACCAAGTTGAGCGTGCCAAAGAGATATCATTCACTTGGATTCTGTAGAGTCAGGGAGAAAACGAGAGAAAGGATTTCCTTGGTTGGTTTCCATAGCTTGATAGACCAGAAACAAAAAAACTGCCACAACAACAAACAGCAAAATTTTTATCCACATGGGAATGGAGCGTCCCTTTTTTGTCTTTTCTGACTTGGCGTCTGCCAAAGGAACATACTTAGGGACATATTTAGACGAAAAAGATTCCTCCATCCTGAAATCACTGAGTTCTAATGGCCGGCCTGCAGCCCCCTTGATTGGTCTGCGGCAGCTAGCACTGTCAAGAATGGAAAGAGGAAGAAACAAAGAAATTTTAGGGAAAATTATGATTTAGATAAATAACAAAATGTCATTGCTACTCCCAATTCCAAGCACACTCCTTAAAATGACAGTAGAAAATTGTCTCATATATAGTAATTAGGTCAATCAACCTATACATTTAAAAAGTTAGATGCATATACTGATAAACATTCATTAAACCTGTATTCCTCTTAAAGGCTTTTCAAAGCCAATGCATTTAGCAGTGAAGAGGAAAAAAATAAGGTAGTTTGGTCTTACTCTGTCAATCAGGAAACAACAGATACCTAAATACAGCCTTTTCAATTAGAAAACAAAAATTCTCAGAAAAAAATGATTTCTTTTTCACTAGGTTTCCCATTTCAATTTCAAAATATGAATTATACAGTAGGTAAATTATTTATTTACATCCCTTTGGCTAAACAAAATTAATTTTGAAACTGACTCAACTTTCAAGAATAGGAATGGGTGGCTTAGAGGAATTAAACTGCTCCCCCCAAAAGAAAACAATTCTGAGAGCAGAGGTACAATAACTTTGTGAGGAATAATTAAAATTTCCCTAGTAGAATATACTAGTATTTGTTTCAGTGTGTCGAAGTACCTAATTCCTGTTGGTGTAGATGCTTCATAGGGAAACATTTCCTTAAGAATATCCCTTTCTATTCTTCTTTCCTCTGTTTTTTCTCCCACCTGAGAAGAAAGAAAGAAATCACAAGTTAAGTTAGTATAAATGTGCAAAAAACAATTTTACACCAAAGTTTTAGAGAACAAAATGCAATTAAAGAAATCTATCTTAGCTTTTATAACTGCCATTTCAAAATTCATTATTATCTAGGTATCCACATGTTTCCAAGGCTGTCATATTTCTTCAATATGAAGATATCTTAATGTGGTTATGAGGGGAGGGGAAATCACCACTTATTCAAATAAGTTAAAAAAAAACCTAAAAATTTTCCATACACTTAATATGGCAGTGTATGGATTTCCCATGTTTTTCATTAATAAAACATTAAGAGTACAATTTTTATCCTCTGTTAAGAATTCTGTAATAAGTTACTGAATGTAGAAGATATTTAACATGGACCTTTAACAAATTTTAGTATAATGTATGTTTTTTAACTACAGGGTCAATCCAATCTTCCCACCTTAAGAAACATAATTTAACAACCTCTGATGGTTTTGTTGTTTATCTTTACATCCAGATCAAAATAATAAATACTTCATCTCCTTTAGTAAAGAGTAATTAAAATTACAGTGCACCATGCGGTTAGTACTTTAAACTTAATATATGTGTTAATCAATTCAAGTATCATTCAGTCACTTTAAAGTTATTTGATCGTTCAGTGAAAGACAAAGTATAGCCTCCCTCACAGCCCTCTAATACTTTCAACTCACATCCATGACAAATAGAACATATTATAAGCATCACACAAAGGACTACTCCCTTGAAAAATGGAACTTAAGAGGCACATAACAGCAAGAGGATAGTATCAGCATGTCATACTGTATTAGTTAACTCCCATTTTCACTAATAAAAGTATGTCTTTAAAATAATACATACATATACACACACATACACACCACCCAATAAAGAAAACTCTGGTCCCTCCCACTCCAAAGAACAAATATAAATATTTCCTCTTTAAAAGATCAATGATAGCCTCAATCTAAATTTTATTCATTTACTTCGGCTCTCGTCAATGGTTTCTTTGGTGTTCTTCTGGGTATGTCTGAGAATTCAGTGATTGGCAGAATAGGAGCTGCATGCTTGAAATTTCCAGTCACCCTATTGACAACCTGCCAAGATTCAAATTATTCAGACTCAGAATTATCCAAACACAACAAAGACACTTATAAAGAAAAGAAAAAAATAATTAAAAAAGATATTCTGTATCTGTAATATTTGAAATTTTCCCTTTAATAAAAATTTAGGTGACAGAGCCTAGAAATGAACATATTAATAAGTGCTTAACATGTGCAGCCCTATCATTCTTTAAATATTTGAGCAAAAAAGTATCCTTGTAATACTCAGAATTCTTATATAATAAATTATATAAATTTGCTATATTGAGAAAGTCTAAAATTCAGAACTATACGGGAAAAATAAATTTTAAATGCAATATTTAAAAAAATGTAAATTTGAAACTGTCAAAATTCACCACCTCCCCAATACTAATGAAAGGGTAATTTACAAAGAATAATCACTTGTATAGTTTATGAAACATATTTACTAAGGTTTCGTTGCTTGAAGCCATTACAGTTTCAGCTATGGGAGTACTTTCTGAAATTACTGCACCATCTATACGAAAATGTTCTGAAGTTTCCACCTGTTAGTTTGAAAACAAAACAAAAACAATAAATATAAAATAATCACTAAAACCCTACCAATCTGAAAACCCAATTCTAAGCAATAAGCCTTGCATCACCCTTTTCCTTGGAGTTCTTCTCGACCCTCTTGTAGATTCCCTAGTTAATGCCTGCAGAGGTCCACTTTTTGAAGATCCACTTGTCCATTCAGTGTCAGTTATTCCAGCTTGAGAATAGCTCTATTCAAGCATTGACAAATTAAAAAGCCATATTCTAACATCAAACACCTTAATAATGGCCATATTAGCACACTGAGAAGCCAAGACCAATCACCAAATGCCAGCATTTGCAAACAGTTATGCTTTCAAAATATCTCTAAATATATCGATTGAACTGACATACAGACTACAGAAAACTGGTAAAAGACACTAAAAAGGCCATCTCTAGTAGCTCACAAATTATAATAAAAGTTAGGAGGAAAGTACATCAATTATCATTGGCCTCCCTTTTGTAATTCACTGCTATTTGGCTCCAGTATTGCAGGTGCATCAGACCAATCATGACTTATAAAAGAAAGTCATTTGTTACAAAAAGTCAATTCCATTTTCAAGCAAAAAGACACACTTTTATGATTGTTAGCATAGTTTACACATTATTCTTTTCATGTGGTTGGACTACTTAAGTAGAAACCTCTCAAATTATAATCCATACCTAGCTATCTGAACTCAAAATTCCCAGATGTCAATCCCTTCTTGGAAACAGAAAATGTCGAAACCTGGAGGTCACCCTTTCATAAACATGCAAGCCTAAAATGTCACTGCCAAACCACAATGCTACCCACTTCTTACTAGAGAAAGGCAGAAAGGTAATAATGATAGAGAGGTACCTTCCAGTCTTGGATTCATTTCTCCCTGAAAAGAAGACTATTTTCCTCATTTTAAAAATAAGCTATCAGTCCTTACACACCAGTTCAGAAACTGTCACGTTACTGCTTCTCAAACTGTAATGTGTATATGAATCACAGAGAGCCTTTGTTAAAATGCAGATTGATACAGCAGATCTAGGAAGGGGCCTGGGATTCTGCATTCCAAGTAGCAAGGCATTTCATTTTGAAGCCACTGTTACCACATGATTCTTTTAAAAGCCTGCAACTAGAGTATCCAGCAATGACAGTATTATAGTGGAGTGTGCTCATGTTGTCACTTTTGCTTTCATGCTAATATTTAGATAACTGATGTTTTTATTTTCAAGTCAGTGTCTACTAATTTTAAAGACAGATTTTTTTTTCCTCTTATGTGGCGATAAGAGTGGTCATCCAATAAATTTACTTATTTGGCAAGGAGCATTACAACCCAAACTCCACAAGGTACAGACATATCTCGTGTATCTGATTTTGTATTTATCCATATTTGGAACTGACATCATTAAAAGTTTTCCTTTGACTCAATCTCTGGGTTGCCTTTATTCTGTTACCAATTAGCAAATATTTGCGGAATGGAAACTTTGTTAGTCAAAAGACAAATCAGCAAACATTGTGCACACACACATATAATAAATGCTTACTATTAGTCAAAATCCTGATTATTTGAATTCACAGAAGGGAGCAATAGCTTTAATCTGAAGTTCCCAACCCTGGCTGCACAGTGTCATGTCTGGGGAGTTTTTAAAACTTATCAGCGTCCCCAGACCAATTACATCAGAATCTGTTCTAGAAGGTCCTAGGCAGAGTTAATTTTTACAGCTCCTGAGGGGATTCTAATGGGCAGCAAAGATTAAGAACAACTAGTTTAAAGTAATATAACTGACAGTGGACTTTAATGCACCTCAATGCAATTATTTTTAAACTACTTAACATTGCCTCCCCCCTTTAATAATCAATGCCAGTGAAAATAAGTGGAAGTGTTTATAAAATGTACTATTTTGATAGTCTGCTTGGTATTATCATTGTATACTTAATATTTTAAAACTCAAAGAATTAAAGAAAGGGCATTATTTGAAAGGGCTACTAAAGTTATCAGTTCTACAACTGATACTATATGAAGACCAGATATCTTACCTACATCCATGAAGTGGGGAGGGGGGGAGACGACAGGTTTTTTTCCCTAAAATTAGCTACCTCACAAATTCTAGGATTTTCCATTTGTTATGTTTTGAATAAATGACATAATGTTTTCATCAAAAATGTTACAATTTTACCAAACACCTATTGAAACCACTTTGGTATGTATGTAAGTATATACACACATACACACATAAAAAGAATGTTTGCATTTTTTGTTAGTATCTTTGACTTTAAAGGTTAAGTTCCATTTAAAATTCTTTATTTTCTTCTATGGAAGGGAACACAAGAAACTTATTGGTTGCCTGTGGGGATGACTGGGAAGAGAGGTGGGAGACTTTTCACTGTGAATCATTTATACTTTTTTTGGTTCAGATTTATTAAATTCATTGGTTGAGGAATGTCACCCTATCTTATTAATTCCTATTTATTACCATCTAATTTAGAATTAGTTATCTTCATTTAATGTAACATTAAGTTTACATTCAGAAAACTAACTGACAACCTTGACATAACCAGGGAAGATATTCTGAACACTCAATTTTTTTTTGTACGAGAATCCACAATAAAAAAAGTGACTTTGAGAGAAGAAAAAACAAATAAAAATCAAATAAAATTATCCAGTATTATAATTAATTAATAACATGAACCAATTATTGATTTAAAAAAATTCACTGATATATAAAATTAGTAGTTTATGAGATTGCTGGATGCTTTGGGGTCAAAATAAGAATTCGGTGACATCTATTTTCAGCCTGATGTTCTATAGAAAGTCCTGAATTTATCATGGACATAAAAAGAGGAAAAACCAAAACCATTTCACATCACCTTCTGGTAAACCTATAAGGTAAAAAGTTATTCAGAAAACAGGCAGCGAGGCACATGAGGATGCAGGAGCTGGGCTATTAGAGAAGGCCATGCATCCCAATCAGTAAAATTACAAGCTTCAAGCAACAACAAAAACCACACAAAACTACATTATATACAAAGACAGAACCCTGCGTACAGTGACAAGGGGGTATATGGGAACTTTCTACTTTCTGTGTAATTTTTCTGTAAACCTAAAAGCGCTCTAAAAAAATAAATTATATTAAAAAAAAAAAAGATAATAAAAAGGCACCTCACTCTGAAGAGCTCCACTATCAATTCAGGTTAAACACAACTAATATGGTTAGTCATCTTAACTTTATAACAGTCTCAAATTTCTCCACTCGAGAAAGGTATTCTCATAACACTGCTGGTGAGAATGCCAAATGCTTATAAACTCCTATGGAGGGGAATTTGGCAACATCCAGCAAAATCACACATGCATTTACCTTCTGACCCAACAATTTCACTTTAAGATTTTCCAAAGATAAATGAGTAAAAATATGAAATGACACATGCAAAAGGCTGTTCACTGGTTCATGTGGCATTATCTGTAATAGCATACTGACTGAAAGCAACCCAAATATCCACCAAAAGAAAACTGGCTGAATAAATTACAGTATATCCATAAACTGGAATACTATGCAGTTGAACGAAGTAATGAGGATGATGGTTACACACTGATATGGAGTGATCTCCAGGACGGGTGTTTAGGTTAAAATCAGAAAGGTACAAAACAATGTACCAAGCGCAAAGTAGGCTGCCTTTTGTGTAAAAGGGGGAAAGGAACATACGTATAAATCTATGTGCTTGTATTTTCAAAAAGAAACAAAATATAAACAAAAAAATCAATAAAAACAACTACCTATAAATGGAGAGAACACAGATAGAAACCAGAGTTCAGATTCTACCTTGCTCTGCCTACATAAAACCACACATATTCTCAATTATTTAGAAAATTAAATGAAAGAAAAATGCAATCTCTAATATTAGAAAACAAATAAAATTAACAGTTCACCAAGCTGGAGACCTTATCATGCAAAGAAAAACAATTTTCAAGTGACTTAAGCACAGTATTTTGACTATTCTATGGACAAGAAAAACTACAAAAAAAAAAAAAAACAGCAAAACAAAACTCCAAACTGCATTTAGTAGCCTTATTGTTAGTAGTAATACTGTATTATTTCGAAACTTTTATATATATATTGTGATATCATTTTAACAACCAAGTTATTCAACATAAGAGTACAAATATAACACAAACAAGTTAGATAGTCTGTGATCTTAAATTTGAAATATCATCATGAATTCATGATTTTTTCCTTCTAAAAAATAAGTGCCTTCTAGCTCTATCTACTGAAAAGGCCTAGAAGCAATGACAACTCAGCAAGAATGAACACCTTAGTACCCAGACTGTAGTCTCCAGATAACATTTTCCGTTAAAGGAACAGGGTTTCTTGGAAAAACGTCTGACTGGGTAACAGGCAGGAAATATACATGAGCCTGGGGCATCTTACTGTGCCAGAAAACAAGAAGGTATCAAAAATAACCAGTTGCCATACAGTCAATTCTGACTCATAGGGACCACCTCCCATGTGTGTCAGGGTAGAAACGTGCTCCACAGGGTTTTCAATGGGTGATTTCTCAAAAGTAGATCGCCAGGCCTTTCTTCTGAGGTGCCTCTTGGTGCACCCCAATCTTGTGGTTAGCAGCTGAGAGCTACCTGTTTGTACCCCTAGGGATGCTTATCAAAGGTAACTGGGGTAAAAAGATACAGGAACCAACTTAGTAATTCCCACTGGCTAGGAATGGCACACTTCGAGCATAAAAAAATAATGACTGCAACTGATTGAAATAAATAAAAAACAAAAACTTTTAATATTAAAAAATATTTTATTGGTCAACTTTCGAAGTGGCCAGGGTGACAGATAAGATAGATAAGACAGATTAGATAAGATAGATAGTAAATTAAATAAGATAGATATGTATACAGGTGACCCTGGCTGGGCATGAACAGGGTCCTGTATTTTGAAAATTGGCAAATAAAAGGAAGGAAATAAGCATTAATTCTGGCTCTCCTGTAAGAGTTTTATTTCAAAGCAACTAAGCAGTTCATAAGAGGAAGTTCTTTATAAGAGAATTCCAGTTAGTAGAAAAGAATGAGAATGAGAAAAATCACCATCTTACAACAAAAGGGTGATGCAGAACTTTATGATGAACAGATCTGGATTTCAACATCTGAATCTATTACTAATTACATCATCAAAAGCAAATTATATGGCTCTTGAAATGATACAATAGGAAGGACATAAGACCATTTATAAAGCATCTGCCAAAGAAACTGAACCTTAACCTAATCAACACTCTGAATCCGTGCCGTCCAATTATGGTAGCCAACAGCCATGCATGGCTATTTAAATTTAAATTAAAAATTCAGTTTCTCTGCCACAGTAGCCACATCACAAGTATTCAACAGCCACATGTGGCTAGTGGCTACCATAACAGAGAGCACAGACATAAGACATTGTCATCACTGCAGAAAGTCCAATTACACAGCCTCACTATCAGTCTGTTATAGGTTGAGCTGTGTCCTCCAAAAAGATAACGTTGAAGTCCTAACCTCTGGCACCTGTGAAAGTGACCTATTTGGTAATAGGATCTTCGCAGATATGATCAAGTTGAGGCTATTACGGTGGGCCCTAATCCAACATGACTGGTGTCCTTATAAGATGAAACAGACACAGACAGAGACACACAGGGAGAGCACCATGTGACAACAGAGGTAAGAGGCTGGAGTAACGCATCTATAAGCCAATTTCAGAAGCTAAGAGAAAGGCATGGAACTGATTCTCCCTAGAGCCTTCAGCAAGAGCATGGCCCTGTCAACACCTTGATTTCTGACCTCTAGCCTCCAGAACTGTGAAACAATCATTTCTGCTCTTTTAAGCCACTCAGTTTGTGGTAACTTATTATGGCAGCCCTAGGAAACTAATAAAAGTCTAATTCCCAATCTAAAGGAAATAAAGATACAGAAGAGCAAATTAAATAACTGAAATTCAAAGGAACAATCTGCCGAATCCTGAATGTGGTAAACTACGTAGAGAAACCTGGTTTCTTTATCAAATAATAGAGGGAGGGGGAACTGTTACAGTGGGAATAACTATAGACTTAAATAAAAGATACCAAATACGATATGTGGGTCTTGTCTGGATCCTGACTTGAAAAATTTAATTACAAAAAAAAATTTCTGAAACAACCAGAAGAATCTGAACAGGAATTAGATATGAAAGAATTATTAATCTTATTAGGTGTGACAACTGCATTGTCATTATGCATTTCATTAAAAGCCCTTATCTTTTAGAGATATATACTGAAATACTTCTTAATGTATAAAATGATTATCAGGGATTTGCTTTAATATATTCCAGCAAAAAGCAAAACAACAAAACCAAAAGCAAATAAAAAAGCTGAAGGGGAGTAGGGCAAAATGAAAACTAGTAAAACTAGTAAAACTATTAAGGCTCTGACTGGAAGGTCATAAACTTTCCTTGACTTTTCTGTATGTCTGATATTTTCCATAAGGAAATTGTCTAATTCTGCCTGTCATCTCTTAAATCTACCCTCTCCTTTTACTATTAATCCTGCCCCTCAGTTTAGATTCCCTGACTCAAATACTTACCCCTTAAACAATCTTTAATACTATCCTCCCCCCACTACCCACCCCCACTTTTTAACCTATTATCTGACTAGTCACACACTCCTACAAGCACTGTATCATCTTGCCTTCATACTCTGGACCAAAATTGTCCAGAATCTTAATGTCCTGTTTTCAGTGTCCTTCAGATTTTCCTAGTTTCTCTTCCTTAGCAATATTAGAAAAAAAAGAGCAATAAAATATTTATTCCAGTGTTTGATTCTAAATTAAACAAAATCTTCTTTCATTCAATGCTCTATACATTCTCCACATAGTCATCAAGCTCGTTTTAACAAAGTTTTGAAATTCTACATCAAATGAGGATAGGGACATAGCTTAAGAAATTGAGAACATGTTCTCTGAGGATGTATGATTTTAAAATGACAAATAAAGATGGAAAAGATAAATAAACAACCAGACAAATCTTCCAGCTACGTAGAGTAGGGTAAGAAAAATGACTCTAGGGAAAATTACCTTGAAAAGCGCCAGCCAAATCAATGTTAAATTATAATCAATTTGTTTTGTCAGCTACTCCATTTTTTATACCTGTGCTTGTTTTCCCACTTAGTTTCCTACACTTTTCTTTTGAAAAATTACATCTTGCCTCTCCCACAATGATAAAAGCAAATTTTCCACAATTTCCAAAGAGAGTAAGGAAAGAAAACTATGGGGGCTTAGGCCCAGACTAGTTTCAGAGTTGAGGGAAAAGCCACAGAAGACAGGTGAAAGTAAAAGCAAAGTCAGAAATCTAGAGACCAAAACACAACTATAAAATCCTCCCCACCTTAAAAATTTTTATCAGAATTTGTTTCAGCATTTCCACCTTTTAAACATTTCTCTCAAAAAGAAAAGCATACTGGTTCTGAACCATGCTTAGCATAGAATCAAACACAAATGAGACATTACATACTCATTTTTACAGTAAGCACAAGCTACAATACAGTGACAAAAAAATCACATTTCTAATGCCATTAATTAACAATGGAATTAACAGTTTATTGAGTATGCTGGAACACGCGTGTCACTATTAACCAAAGGCTAAAATACAAGGCAGATTAATGTTATCAGATTACTTATACTTGTGCACAGTGATCATAAAGCTAAAGATACCTGATTGTGCTCAACTCTTCTTTGCTTGAGTGTTACTGGAATCTTTGCTCTGCCCTTTAATGGTTCTCTCTTCTCAAGCTTGAGCTCTACTGTAGAGTCTGAAAATAACACCAGAGAAACCATTACTCTCTGAAACATCAACAAACTACAAAGTCATCCTAATATTATTTTGGAATCCTGGTTTTGGCACATTAAAATGTAAAAGAAGTTTATCAGTTGGTGCTACCTCAATAGACCAAAATTGTTTAACTGCAATTTGCTTTTTTTTTCTTCTCTATTCTATTTTATTCCATTTTTGTTTATCTCCCCCACTTATTAATCTGACCACTTTGTTGTTAGGTGCCATTAAGCTGGTTCCATCTCATAGTGACCCCGTGTACAACAGAACGAAACACTGCCTGGTCTGTACCATCCTCATAATCGTTGCTATGTTTGAGCCCATTTTTGCAGCCACTGTGTCAATCCGTCATCGTTGAGGTCTTCCTCTTTTTTGCTGACCCTTTAACTTTACCACGCATGATGTCCCTCTCCAGGGACTAGTACTAGTCCCTCCTGATAACATGTCCGAAGTACCTGAGACCACTACTTCCTATTTATTCTCCTTTCCTTTTCCTAGGCCTTAAATATAAAGTGAATTCAAACTGCTCCCAGGGAGGCTTTTGGCTAAAAACAACTTAGATGTTGAAAAACAGCATATAAAATACATAGTTATTAACATTATTTTGTCCATATATTAATTACCACTATATAACAGGGATAAGTTTTTAAATTAAAATTTGGAATGTAGAAGAGAAAAAGCTGTAAGAAATTTTAAAAACAAAAAAATGTGTATGGTATCAAGCCTGTAATAACTTAATAAATGCTAAATGACAATGATAAAACTTAAGTGCAATCCAACCCTTTCCACCCTTCTTTTTTGATGAGGGTACAACTGAGGTAGAGATAAAGAGGAATCTTGTTTACAGAAAAGTACAACAGATCACTTCTTCCCTACTCCCCATAATAAAAATAACATTTCCTTGAAGAGAAGGCAGTACATATATATTAAATCACGATGTTTATTAACCTAACAACTCATATCTTTTTATAGGCTTCAATATTCCATTCACCTAATCTTGGATTTTATCACTATTTGAAGATCTAGATTTTGTAAATACTGATAAAAACCTTAGTTAATGCCCCCATTTTGTGGCTATTTATCATAGTATAGCAAAATTAATAAAGAAGTCAGTAATAAAACTAAGTAATTTAAAAGTTAAATGACTAAGTTCTTTCCTAAAGAAAGGAATAATTATCAAACAAAAGCTTAGTTTTGCATGAACTCACTGTAGTTGTGTTAAAAAGTGGTCAAAATAGCTGTATTATGTGTCTTGCTAACGTTCCAGTCTAGTACTAGTCAGAGTCCAGAGTAAACTTCCAAGTGTCCCAAAAATGAACAGTGATTTTTTGTTATCAAGTTAGTTCAAACAGTTCAGTATTTATTTAGGACTAAGCTATCAACTTCATCCCCTACCTCCCAACATTTCTATTAACGGATCTACTTATATATCTATATTTGATATACCCTTTAGGATTATAAAATGTATTCTTATATTTGTTGAAGTAAAAATCTCACTGGTAATTGGGAAGAAATTGGTTAGACAAGTAAGCTATCTGGTTCTACAGATTCTTACAAACTTAGATTCCAAAAGCTAATGAAAACATGGTCCTCAAATAGAAAAAAAACATTCAACGATAATTAGAATACTTTCACCCACACCACTGGAGTGTCAAAGATGAAATGGAAAAGGGTTGTACATTCACAAATATCTAACTTGTTGCAACTCCAAGAATAAAACACACATACAACAAGTTTCTGGAGACCACACAAAACTGTTCAAATTTAACAACTTTATTGAATTTGCAGAAGCATTCTACAGTAATACATTTGTTTTTCATCACACAGCACTTAGTAGGTACATGTATACATGTACATTTTGGAAGACAAATAACAAATAAAATTACCCTTAGTAAGCTGCAAAGATGGCCATGTATAGTATAATATGGTAATGACTAAGTACCCAAGAGACTATATTTTGCTTATATTTAAGACTACCATTTTCCATAAAAACACACAAAAAAATTGTGTTCTACATAAATTCTACATTTAGACTGTTTCATCTTACAATCATAAAAATAAAAACAGAGGACAATACACTGCTTTATATAGACACAGACACTGGGATATAGTATTTTAAGGCTTTTTTTAAATTTAAATTTGCTTTTAAAGTTTACATTGTAAGCTTAATTATCCATGAACCACAAAACTGTTAAAAACCTGTTGCCGTCAAGTTGATACGAACTCATAGTGACCCTACAGAACAGAGCAGAACTGCCCCACAGGGTTTCCAAGGAGCGGCTGGTGGATTTGAACTGCTGACCTTTTGGTTAATCGCCATCACACTTAACCACTGTGCCACCAGGGCTCCCCATGAACCACAATATACCTTAAAAGAAAAGTACTACTTTAAAAAAAGAAAAAAAAAAAAAAGCCCCATGTTTCCAGTGTCTGGCTAATCTGACAAACTAGAGTGGTGGTGAGAATGTACTATCTGGAATATCCATTATCTTCCAGAGCAAAAGTGTGGTCCATGGACTGGTATTGGTCCATGAACTGTTTGCTACCAGTCTATGAAGAGATGAGGTACTCATACCTGAATGTAAATCAATACATTTAATAATGTTTTACTACAAAAAAACACCTTGCCCTGTCAACTAACCTAAAAAGTGTGTCTATATTTAAATTCTGGTGCATGTTTATCTCATTTGCAGACCAGTAACATTTTGCGGACTGGTACTGAGTTACACTGATCTAGACTACTATGAATGATGTAGACATTAGTAAAAAACAAACAGAAGTGAGAAAAGAGCAATAATTTGGACAAGTTCAAGAAAGTAAAAAGATATTTAGATGGTGGTATCAAGAAAAAAAAATCAGTTTTGAATGTGCAACAATTTTCAATTTTGTCCTAGGTATAAAGCAGAATACATATGGTACTACTAAAAACAGTGAAGATTCTACTTATATTCTGATGATTGGAATTTTCTTAACTTTGAAGAGTGTAAAAGCGTAAGTAAAACAGAAAACAGTGAAGTATTTATGAGAGAGAAATGCAATCTAAAAAACTGTTTGTACTAAGCTTTCCATTTGGGCAACTTAAAAAAAAAAGAAGGCACTTCTATGTGGGCATTTACTTTTACACTATAATTTGTTGAGAAGCTTGATACTTTGAAATTAGCCCAATCTATAGACTAAAAAGTTCTTAAAATTTTTGCATGAGTACTTGAAATTGCTAGAAAAGCTCCTAAATTCTTCGTATCAAAGATGCCTTTGTTCTTAACTTTATCAGTGTTTATTCCCACGCTTTTTAATTATTTTGCATACTTCTCCTCCAAATAATGTTCCACCTTTAAAGGGGATAACTGCCAGCTTATTCTTAGAAGTTGGATTAATTTTGCAATCCTTCAGCCAGAGATATCGGCGACCCACAGTGGAAGATCCCATGGTACGGGCAGCCATCTTCACTTCATCAAATGCAGCTTCACAAAGATATGAGGCTGCATCGTATGTTTTGCTCAGAATCCCAAGGGCCTGGTGCATTTTACTAGGATCAGAGCTAAGAATTTGGGCAGCCTGACTAATGTCTGCTTGCACAGCCCTAACTACAAAGGCAGTATGGGTTGCAATCTGCATTGCTGATGCTGCAGCTTCATATGTTCTACAAAGTGCTAAATCCAACTGTTTATCACAAGCCTCAGTGGAGGCTGCCTCAATACCTGCTGGTGGAGTGGCTTCAGAAATAAACCCTAGGATTTCATCATCTACTTTTGGAACTGATAATATCCGTGGTGCCTCTCTAGAAGAAACTGGATACTTGCATGCCAATGAAGGCAGTCGCCTATCAATTTGCTGCCATTCCTCTTCAATTACTTTTAAAATAGATTCATGGAGGGGGAAAGATAGTTCGGGGTCATCTATTTTATCATGCTGTGATTGCTTAGATATTTCAATGCCTAAGGTAGTGAGTGAGTGAGACACAACAGTTTTAGCAAAAGAAGATATTGATTCATTTCCAGGTATATTTTGAAATGTCACAAAGGAACCTGAATCCCTTCCTTCTACTGACTTCTCGCTGCGTCTAGGGAATTTTCGTGGAGGAGACAGGGATTCAGTTTCTTGAAAACTAGATCGATCAATTCTCTTCCGTATGTTTTCTATATTCAGTGGAGGTATAGAGTGAGAAGTCCCAGGCAAAGTACCTACCCCACCCTGTACCAACAGAGAACTGACATAATCTCTGATTGCCTGAGCAAGTGGTGGAGAAATTACTTGTGATCTCTCAGACTCTTCTAATTCTTCCCTTTCAATGGAGAGAATCGACTGATCTGAAATACGAGGCCTCCCGGTACTTAATGGTTGAATTCCACTTTTCTCTCCACAGCAAATATTTTCTACTATTTCTTTATAGGAAGTAGTAGTGGTTTCTTTAATCACTGAAGGAGAAGCTGCAGCTGAGACCAACACAGCAGCGGGTTGATGCTGAGAAGGTGACGAATTTTTCTCTAAACATCTATCATGGCTAGACTTGGAGGAAATAAATAAATTCCCTCCAGAGGCTAACTTCTCCAACTGTCCCCTGCCAGGCAACGCTGTGGAAGTAACAGGTTCCCTAGGTGGGTCTCCCTTAGAAGTATGTACTTTCTTAGTTGCCTGTAGTTCAGTCCTGCCCAAAGGAGGACGGGTGGAGATTTCAGGAAAAGATATACCCTGAAAAAATCCACCAGAGGGAGTAGTTGGAAGTTCAGAAAAAGGAACAAAATCCCTAGTGGACTTCACTTTCTTGTGTTCTTTCTTCTTTCCTGTAGAGGCAAAAGAGGCAGGAAGTTTCAGCATTACTTGTGTTTGAGCTTATTCTTTGCCTCTTTGCTAAAATAGTGCTGTTGAAGGAAAAGGCTCAATACTGCACATTTCTAACAACCAATTTGACAGACTGTGCCCTGTCACGCAATTCTTATGGAGATATAGGCATTTGGGGTCAAATTAAACAATCACAAAATTAAGAAATAAGTTATATGAATTAACAGTTTATAAAACACCAAATTGTACTTATAATAAATTTAAACAGATGTTTATTTCATGTACTATTATCAAGAAGTATTTAACTACCATGGTCAAATTTTCTTAAAATAATATAGTCTACTAAAAATATGTCAACTATTTGCTTTAAAGCTGCCTTCAAATCAAATTATCTAGCAAATACCGTAAACAATTTAAATGCCTATCAATAGAAAAGAGAAAATATGCCATACGCAAATGTACCAATATATATTAATTACAAGGAATAAACCAGATATATATGCAACAGAGACCTCAAAAATACATAAAGAAAAGCAAGTACTAATATTTAGCATGATCTCACTGGAAAGAACTATCAAATTAATGGTAGTGGTTGCTTCTGTGGAAGTGATAAAAGGGATGGGATAAATGGGGAATTTATCTAGCATTTTATTCTCTTAGAAAAATGAGATTAGAAGCAAAAAAAAAAACAACCGGCAACTTTAGGTGATGGAAAATTGAATATTTGTATTTTCTGTTTCTTAGAATTTTCAGCAACAAAAGATATTTTATTCAAATTACTTGGAAGCCAATAATCTGAATGACGATTTAAACAAAAATTCACGTTTCTTGCTAATACTGTTTTAAATATTACCTTTTTCATGGTCACTGTTACCTTAAAATGAGTCTGAAGAAAAAAACTGCATGTATCTTATTAACACCCTTTAAAATTTTACCTTCTTCATTGTCACTGTATCTGTCAGAGTCATTACTTCCATTCTGCCTTGTATTTTCTGCTGAAGAAGAAACTGCTGGCAGAGGTGTAGATGACCTTGATTCTGTTCCTTGTTCCCTCAGCTTCAGCAGCTTTTTCTCATACAGCTTCCTGGTTGTCCCTGAATTAAGGCAGAACTTGCTTTAGAAGCTTTCATTGCTATTAAGAATTCCTTATTCCTTATTTACTATTGTTTTTGCCTGTTCTTTTGTATTTACCTGCTACTAATTTTTATTTTATATTTTAATCAGCTTTCAATTATTTAAGGTCCAACTTATGAATAAACATTCAAAGCTTACTTTCACCCTTTCCTTTTCTAAACTTAAGTGCTAAAAATTACCATATAATGGACTCTTCTAAAATAGGTGGTTGTCTCCCCCTACCCCAACATCAATCTAATACATCAATGTTTCTTTTAATAGCATGGAATAGAGAACAGATTGATGTCTTGGACTTTGTTATATTTTCTCCAGTACAATGTAACTTCTACTTATCTTTGTACTTGCCTATGTAGGAAAATCATTTTTATAAACACATGGTACCCCCCTAAAGAATTATAATAATTCAAACCTCACAACTCTTAAGAGATTAATACACCTATAAACAGCTATTGAGTTATGGGGAAAAGGGAAGACCTATAAATTACATCTACACAGAACTACTGTGTAGTTAAAATTACCTTTTATAGAAAATAGATATTACAAAACAATCATATACCAAACAGAATTAAAATTATATACCAAATATCAATTAAAATTGATAATAAATTCTTCACGTTTCAGCAACAATTTAAAACAAAAAATTGCTTTTATTTTCTGTTTTACTATGCTATATGTCTTTCCTTGCATTCTACAAGATGTGTAAAATAAAAACAAAATTTTTAAAGAAATAATACATATCTAGAAATGTTTTGTAAGCAGTATTAAGATGAACATCTAATTTACTGTTATGTTGATACATAATACACATTTTCATGTCTCTTTTGGAATTTTAAATAAAATATTTAAAGAGTACCAAATGTCTACTGGTAATTATATTAACAGGTTTATTATTATCTATTTGAAAATGTCATATTAAATAAAACAACCAAAAAGAAACATTCTAAGCAAAAAACAAATCCCCAAATCTCCACAGTATTCAAAATGTTACACAGCTCAGATCAAAACGGACTTTTCTCATCTTGAGGTTACCACCAAACCCAACCCACTGCCATTGATTAGATATTGACTCACAGCAACTCTATAGAATAAGTAGAACTGTCCCATCTTTCTCCCTCAGAAGCAGCTGCTAACTACTGACATTTTGGTTAGCAGTCGAGCGCGTCACCAGTTACTGCCAAAACCCTACAAAATTAAGGCCTTGCAAGATCATAAACCTACAAGTAACGAAATGATGGAAATCCATAGTTCAAAGTTTTTTTTTACAATCAAAATTTGTTCCTAAGGGTATCTTGAATTCCAATCAAGACATGACTTTTTAAAAGCACCGTTCATAACTGAAAAAGGATACTATGCTACTAGGAATTGAGTAACTTGAGTTCTATTCATAAGTCTGTCACCAACTTGCTGATCTGGATGAATCTGGCCAGTTATGTTACCTCAGTTTTTCCTCAATTCTCATATATAGATAATACTGGAACCATATGGTCTCACTAGATAATGTGATATAATCACTGCATGAAACAATTTCAATAATGGAAGTAATTTTGGAGGTTACCTGGTTCAATTCTACCCTGTTATTTCTTTCATTTATATTTAACAAAATTGATGTCCTGGTCATATAATTAATATAATATAGGACAAACTAGTCTTTAGAGTTTAAACTCTAACTGCTAGCGAAGGGAAAAAAATCTGGGGTACTGCTTCACAGAAAAGATAATTAGAATTTTACCAACTTACCCACAATAGGGCCAGGATTCACTCCATATTTCACAAGCTGATCCAGAAGATCTTCATTGGTGAGCTCTGTTACATCTAGATCATCTTTATCTTCTAGCCTGGGTTTATCAGTTTTCTTTGTGGCTTTCTGTAAACAAAGTCCAGTTATCATTTCCACATGAATTAGAAAGTGTTCATTTACCTATAACACCCTATATACAATTATTGTGATAAACATGCAAATTCACCCTCAAGTTGATTTTTAGGTCTTAGCAATTTGATTAAATTAAAAGCAATGCATTATCTGGAGAAATTTTCTAAGTTCAATTCTAACTGTGCAAACATAGTAGTCAATCAAGCAACTAAAATTTTAAAGGCAATATTGTTAAAATGGAGCCCTGGCGGAGCAGTGGTTAAGAGCTACAGCTGCTAGCCAAAGGTTAGAAGTTCAAATCCACCAGCCGCTCCTTGGAAACCCTATGGGTCAGTTCTACTCTGCTCTACAGGGTTGCTATGAGTTGGGATCGTACTTGTACTTGACGGCACATAACAACAACATTCTTAAAACAGTCGGTCTGGATTACCTATCTAAAGGAGAGGTAGTGGAATCAAAAATCAAAAAGAATGGCAACAACAAAAAAATTAAAACTGACTTTCGATTACATTATATATCTATATTATAATAAACTACATGCTTGTTTTCCTTTAAATAATCTTTATATGTATTGTATTTCTTAAAGCATTTAACTCCCAATGGCAAGGAAGACGTATCAGCATGAAAGATGCAAAGTGAAGTGTGACTGGGTTTAAACACTTTCATCGACGTAATTGTAAATTACTACTGACCTCTTCTGATAATCCTTAAAAGTTTACATTAATCAAGAAAAGTTTAAGACTTTACCAGAAACATTTATATTTAATTATATAAAAAAGGATTTCCTTTAAACAAATATATCAGAACTTATGAAGCCCAAATGAATAGTCTCCTTGTAACATCACAGTTTGTGGTTGCTTTAGTAACCAGTTTGTGACCCGTGAAGGAAGTCAGACAGACTTCACGGTTGCACATCACCTCTGGCACAGTTTATTCACGTAAATTTAGTTCTATATGATCATTTCACTAATAGTCAAAAGAACGGAGAACAAGCTTTAAGGGAAATTTCAAAAGGAGTCTTTAAAATAACTTAAGCAATGGCAGTATTTATTAGAAAAACTATATAAATGTTCGAAATTAAACAGGTGAAGAGAGCAAAAATATGAGTACCTTTTAGGGTTGTGGCAAATAGCCTCACTTATCCCAGAAAGCACCAGAGTACTGAACAACAGAGAAAAATGGCTATTTAAATAATGGTCATAAAAATCAGGCAAAGTCATTTTGGGTTCAAATTATTATTAAAGAAAGCAGGTGAGTCAACACTGCATCCTAGAAATATTTTATGCAAAATGGCTAAAATTATTAAGTTGTATGGCTTCATTACTTTCTAATCATGTTGTGGGGAAAAAAACACAGGCATTATCTGACAGGTATTAGAATTTTTATGTTTTTGACAAATAAAAATTTTAAATACTTCACAGAAAGCAAGATTATGAAGAATACATTTCTTTTACATAGGCTAATAAGAACAATGTCAAGGCATGAGAAATCTTTCATAAAAAAATGGCTGTGAGCAGAAAGGGACAGCAACTGGTTGAACGGACACAGGGAACGCAGGGTGGAAAGGGGGAGTGTGCTGTCACACTGTGGGGATTGCAACTAACGTCACAAAACAATGTGTATAAATTTTTGTATGAGAAATTTAACTTTCACCTAAAGCATAATTTTAAAAAATGTTGAATTGCAAATGTATTATATGTATTTTTTGTTGTGAACTGATGTTGAGTCAATTCTGACTCACGGTGACCTCATGTGTGCAGAGTAGAATTGCACCATAGGGTTCTCAAAGCTGTGACCTTTGAAAACAAAGCAGATCGCCAGGCCTGTCTTCCCAGGTGCCCTTGGGGTGGCTCTGAACCATCAACCTTCAGGCTAGCAGTCGAGCACTTAACCATTTGCGCCACGCAGGGACTCCTATTTTCACAACCATGAAAAAAAAAAAAAAAGATAGGAATAAAATGTAGTATGTGCATACAATGGAGTATTATTCAGCAATAAAGAGAAATGAAGTTCTGATACATGCTACAACATGGATGAACCTTGAAAACATTATGCTGTATGAAATAAGTCAGACACAAAAGGACAAATATTTTAAGTTCCCATTTATATAATATCTAGAATAGACAAATATATAAAGACCAAAGTAGATGAGTGGTTACCAGGGGCTGTGGGGTGGAGAGAGTGGGGAATTACTGCTTGGGGTTTTTCTGTTTGGGGTGTTGGAAAATTTTGGAAATAGTGGTGATGGTTGCACAACACTATGAATGCAATTAATGTCACTGAATTGTACACTTAAAAAATGGAGATGGTAAATTTTGTTATATACATTTTACTACAATAAATTTTCTAAAAAAGGTTAAAAAAAAAAAGGCTGTGAAGTTGTAAAGAGGGCACTTTCAGAAGCCTTACACACACATATATAGTGCTGATCTAGAATTACTGGGCTCAAATATTGAAGCAATCCATACCTTGATGTCAAAATAACTGCCTAGAGTCTAAGAGTTCTACAGTGAAAGCCTTGAATTCTTTAGAGAAGACTTCTTAATGAAAAAGACCCATTTTCATGACCTACTTGACTTTTCCAAAAAGCAGTGGACAGACTAGGGAGCAAAAACTCCATTATACAGTAAAACTGCAAAAGCCAGAAACTGTAAGGTGGAAACCTGTTAGAAAAGGAAAATTAAAATATTTCCCACTAAAACGAGCCATATTAAAAGTGGTTAAGACTGCACCCTGTCAAAGGCGGAAAACTTGCAAGACCCAGAAAAGGCAGTCTCGCCAACTTCCGGCTCTCACAGGTTTCACTACATAACACAAATACTTTAAATAATAAGAAAAAGATCAATCAGGTTCATATTGCTTGTAGACAATCCCTCCCACCATAACATTCAAATTTTATTATCAACAGAACATTCAGGAATTCCCATTTCTTGCAGCAACAGCCTGGGGTTTTCAAGAAATTTCTTTGACACCACAATCTACCTACTTCGTATTAGTTGTTTATATACATGTTTTATCTTCACCAGATGGTGAACTCCTTGAACCTTACAGTAGTCCCCAAATCTGGTTTATTTTCAAAACCTCAATTCTGATTCCTAATCTTGGGCCAAGAATCTGTATTTTTAATGTATATCTCAGATGTAATAAATGCTGCCAGTTGAGAGCATCAGAAAGCAGGAGTAGTGTCTTATTATTCATTTTTGTATCTCAAGCATCTAAAATAAAAGAGTGCCTGACACAGAAATAGGCACCTGATAAATGTTTTGTTGAAAGAATTACTGAATGAATGAAAGTGCCACGTGGGGAGGGAAAAATAAGTTACTTATGTTTGAAAATCCATTTCTTATGAAGAAATAACCCAGGCCTATCAAATCAAAGTAGGAAATCAACTTCCTTATACCCGTATTTTCTTAAAGCAAATAATGAAACACTTCAGCTGTACAAAGGAGTCTTAATCTATAGAACGTTCTAGAGAAGTAATGCCATTTTATAAAATGTCAAATTTAATAATAAAAAAGAAATTGGGAGATAGGTAGTGTAATGTACATGATCAGCAAGCCAGCAATTTCATTCAGGGAGAAGGAATCATAAATTGTACTGATTTCTGCCTCCAGATAGCTTTCTTCCTTTAAGTGAATCACTTAACCTCTGAGAGCTTCATTTAGTAAAAAATTAATGAAAAATACTGGTACCTAATTATGTGCCAGAATTATTCTTAGTTTCTCCCAGCTACCAGATGATCTCTCACATCTTTTTAAAATCCAGTTCCATAATGATATCTATGACTTACGCTAATTTCATTAATCTCTACCTTTAGTAGCCCAGACACTTTAGTAACAATAATTATTATAAAATATATTCTATCGAGTGCCTATTATGTACCATGCTGTGTTCTAAGTGCCTTATATGTATGTAATACTTTATTGAATTCTAACAATCCTATGAGATATACTACTATCCCCATTGTACAAGTGAGGAAACTGAAGCCCAAGGTCATATGGTTAACTCAGGCAATCTATGTACTACACTATACAGTTACATTTAACAGACTTTATAAATCATTTTCACGTTCTTTTCCAATTCTGAAAAAGGTATTATAGTAACTTTCCACTGTATTGTTCTGACATTAAAGACAATAAATTCAGAAATCACATTTTGTGATAGGTATTGGTTACTAAGCACTAAACACTACATACGTACCCTCATGTAATCTCCAACCTTATTAAGTAACTATTAGATATACTCATATTTTCCAGGTAAAAACTGAGGATCTGAGAGGTGATGTTCATAGTTCAAGGTCACGTGAATAAGTGGCAGACTTGGAATGCCACTCTATATAGCCCTGATTTGGAGGTTAGTACCCTTAACATTTTACTGTAGTGTATAGTGGTCAAATTATGATTTAATTTACATTTACCATTACTAACATACTTTTTTGGAGCCTTGGTGATGCAGTGGTTGAGAGCTACAGCTGCTGATCAGAAGGTCAGCAGTTTGAATCTACCAGCTGCTCCTTGGAAACCCTACAGGGCAGTTCTACTCTGTCAGATAGGGTCGCTATGAGTCAAAATCTACTTGATGGCAACACGGTTTTGGGTTTTAACATACTTTTTTTATGGTTCTGTTCCACGTCTTTAAACATCTTCTGTCAAGAATTCATAGTCCACTAGATCCCAAATATCTACTAAACCTTCATACTTTGCACCTTGGAACAAAAAGGCAGATTGCCAATTCTGTAAATGTTGGCAATTTATGTGTCCACAATCTAGATAACTTCAACACCTAAAACTACTGATATCATTGAGATGCATAAAATTACCAACAACAAAACTTAGAAATGAGAAACTAAAAACCAAAATCAAATTCTGAAAACGAAAATATTTTTGTCATATCAAACTAAGTGAATCTAAGAAAAGAGACTGTAGAGATGACTGAAATGAACAATTTCTCCTTTTAGTAAAACTATTCTTCATAAACCCATGATTAAATAGGAAGTTTATGCTATGCAAATATTTAATCTTAGTCAAATACATACTAAGGTTTGGTTTGTTTTAAAACATTAAACATTCACCACTTAAAAAATCTGCCTTCTCTGTAAATCTCAAGTACAAAGTTTACTTTAAACAATTTGGCTTTCTCCTTTCAAGAAATGTGAAACTACACTGTTGTTATAAATGAAGTTAATGACTAAAGCATAGTATATATAAAATTAATTCAAAAGGCAGAATAATTTTACAGACCAATTATTGTAAATGCCCTAAGGTTCCTTTCCTGTAAATTCAAGGAATTTTTCCTATGCCTAGTAAAAACATGTATCAGACTCAAAATCTATGGCTATGAATTAATTTTTTTCTACATGGAGGTAATCAAAATATTAAATAGATATGAAGAGCTTAGCACGGCACCATGGTAGATATGCTTAAAATGTTGATTTCTTTCACCCAGAACTTATTTTACATGGTGCTGATCGACTTGAGTAACATGGAAAATTTGTTGAAGTAACATGAATAAATAACATGGTAGATCATCACATAAAAAATCGAAGACTCCATAGACACATCCAAACTCCCTGAGGGACTCAATTACTGGGAGAAGGGCTGTGAGCACCATGGTCTCAGGTAACATCTAGCTCAACTGGCAGAACACAGTCTATAAAGACAATGTTCTACATTCTACCTTGGTGAGTAGCGTCTGGGGTCTTTAAAGCCTCTGAGCAGCCTAAGATACTCCACTGGTCTCACTCCTTAGGGAGCAAGGGAGAATGAAGCCAACAGGATACAAGGAAAAGATTAGTCCAAAGGACTAACGGACCACAGCTACCACGGCTTCCACCAGACTGAGTCCAGTACAGCTAGATGGTGCCCGGCTACCACCACTGACTGCTCTGACTGGGATCACAGTAGAGGGTCCTGGACCACAGTAGAGGGTCCTGGACAGAGCTGGAAAAGGACGTAGAACAAAATTCCAACTTACAGAAAAAAAAAAAAAGATCAGATTTACTGGCCCGACAGACTGAAGAAACCCCGAGTATGGCCCCCGGACACCCTTTTAGCTCAGTGGTAAAGTCACTCTCGAAGTTCATTGCTCAGCCAGGGATTGACAGCCTCATAAAACAAAACGGGACTAATGAGGCACAGCAGTCCAGGGACAAGGACTAGTAGACAGGAGGGGACAAGAAAGCTGGTGACAGGGAACCCAAGGTTGAAAAGGGACAGTGTTGACATGTCGTGGGGTTGTTAACTACTGTCATAGGGCAATACGTGTACTAACTGTTTAATGAGAAACTATTTGTTCTCCAAACCTTCATCTAAGGTACAAAAAAAAAAAAAAAGAATTATCTATGAGATCAAATTGACGACAGGAACTCAAAAGGTTTGATGGGAAGCCTAGGGGACAGTGAGTTGAAGATAATGATGATCGAATAATTTGGAAAAGGATAGTGAGAATAGCAGCACAACTGGAAGAGTGTGCTCAATGTCACTGAATTGTACATGTAGAAACTTTTGAAATGGTGTAACTTTGGCTATGTATATTTTCACCAGGGGGGAAAAAAAAAGTGTCCTCCACGGTCGAGAAGGGAGAATGTTGACATGTCGTGGGCTTGTTAACCAATGTCATAAAACAATATATGTACTAACTGTTTAATGAGAAACTATTTGTTCTGTAAACCTTCATCTAAAATACAATTTAAATATATATATATATAAAATCGAAGAAATTAAATTATTATGGGCATGGCTGGGGCCTACAAAAATTGCTCTTCAATGATTAAGAACACATGGTAGGCACTCAAAAGTTGTGTAACTGAACACAGATTTAAAATCTTTATTTTCAGATCTTCTCGCCTCCCAAACAACAGGGTAGATGGGGGCATATTCTCTTTTAAAAGTTACTGAAGGAAAAACAACAAAACCAAACAATAATCATCATCAAAATAATAAATCTACACAGATTAATACAGGGTCCTACAGAGACTATTTTTTTTCCCAGAGGGGAAAAGGGAAAATGAATGAGGGATACGCTTTATTCAAAAATAAATTTGTTTATTATGGAGGGATAAAGTGGCTTTCTTCAAATCCATAAAAACGAGAGACTAGAAAAAGTAAGATGGGGTTGGTCTTTTATTTTCTGAACAACTATGTGCCAGGCACCGACTTAAGATATTTGTAAGATTTTCAATTTCTCTAAAGACCAGGCTAAGATTTTCAATGAAATTTCCATGTGTGTATTACATCTTTCATTTCCAGCTGGATAATCTAGGAAAACACATCAGATAAATTAAAAAAAAAAAAAGAACACAGAGAATTATAACTCTGAAAGAAGCAATCTGAGTTACACCAGTAACCAGAAGCAACAACTCCGAACTCCCCATTCAATATCTTATAAGCAGTGGAACTCTGAACTACTTTCTATTCCGATGTAAAGCATAATTTAGCAGATTCAAACCAACAAAATAATATATAAAAACACAACTGAACAAAAACCAAATTATTCTCAAACAAAATATGCACCTGCTGGAGCCAATGTGAGATTCATCCGGGATCATACATTCCAAATTTGTAATACAAGAATGTTATGAAATCAACATTTTTCCTGATTCCGAAATCCTTCCTTGCCTCACACATTTACAAAAAAAAAAAAAAAAAAACCTTCAGTAACTAGAATTTTCAAATATTTAAGCGTTTATGACAAAAAACTAAACGGTTCAAAAAGCCCTCCATATGCAAAAACATAAAAAGGCGGGAATTTCCTTATTTCAAATTTAGATCAGAAATTAGTATGTAACAGACTGCCCTCCAGGGAGCGCTCTGCGACTGTTACTAGTCATTTCAGTTACTAAAGCGGGAAAACGCTCGATCGCAACCTATTGCATTTTAGGGCTGACCCTCCGTAAGGTTTTGAAAAGAGCACGAAGTCTTTGTCTAAATACCTACTACTGGCGGCCAGCTGTCGAGAAATACCGAATTACACGCACAGGCCAATCACCCACGTGCAAATTAACAACACACATAAACTTCAAATCTCCGAGACACACAACCTCAAAACACGCAAGCCCTGCGCCTCCAACTTCTGGACTCTTACCTCCAGCACCCCCCCCCCCTTACAAAGCCTGCAACCCCGACGCGGCGGAGCACGAGACAGGAGCCAGCAGAGACAGAAATTGAGCTGTACGAACAGGAGCGGGGCACCCCGCCGCCAAGGACGCCCGAGGGGGAGCCAAGGAGGGAGGGGCGGGGGCGGGAGGCTGAGCGCGCGGTGGCAACCGCCAACCGCCAACCGCCCGCCTTTGTGGACCCGGCCAGGCAGGAGGGTTGCGCGGCCGGGCCGGGCGTCCTTACCCTGCCGACGGCGGCGCGGCTTCGGCCCGCGGCGGCGGCTCCGGAGCCGAAAACCGGGGTGGGCTCGCGCTCCTCATCGCTGGAGAAATCCGGGGGCCCCTTGCTGTTGGCGCTGGCGGCGAGCGGCGGCCGGTTGCGCGCGGTGAGGTGCTGCAGGTAGAGCTGCACGTAGACGTCTTTGCGCTGCTCCCCGGCCGGGAGCGTCACATTGTTGGCGATCAACTCACTCTTCAACTTCTCTTTCGTCAGCACCGAAGGGTCTTCCAGGAACTCTGGCATCTCCGCGGCGAATCCCCTTCCCTGCAGCTTTCACACCCACCGCTCACGCCGGCGCGCTCTCTCTTCTCCGGGGGCCGCGCTGCCTCCTCCGAGCCTCACGATTCTCGCCAGGTAGGAGCACGGCGAAGCAAACCAAAAACTCACAGACCCGAAGCAAAGCAGAAATCCGACACAAAGCCCTAGAGCAGAACCACGATCCAAGTGCGGCCAAAATAGAACCCTACACAAACCCCAATAAACACACTACAGACAAGAGGAGAGCACCCTGCTTCGCCCACGCCCCAAGAACACGAGCCGCCATTGGCCGGCGGCGGGAGGAAGCGCGGCGGTGATTGGCGGGACGGCTCGCGCGGGTTCCATTAGCCGCGGCGCGGTGCGAAAGGCTGTAGAAACGCAGTTTAAAAGCCGCTCGGGCGGGAGCTGAGGCTTCGGCTAAGGGGCACGGCCTGTTTCTATTTCCCTTTTCTCCACCCTTCCCTGTAGATTCTGATAAGGGACTAGTCGTAGTGCTTTTGTGCACGGTTTTCTTTTCCTCCCCCTACTTGGGAAGAAGCTTTTCTCTTTGGGGTCGATCACCTACAAACGGGCCGAAATTCATGCCAGCAGTGAGGACCCTTGCCTGGGCCTTTCTCTACCCCAGGACACTGATCCACCGAAGAATAACCCCAGAGTTTGCTTCCCCAAACGCTAGTCCTGAAAGGAAAGAAAAGAAAAGCATGTTGGTAGGCACTCGTATGATTTGATTTATTTGGGGGAAAGGAAGGAAGGGTATGGAGTTAAATCCCCTTCTTTCTGCTCGCAAACGCTTCTTTTGTTCGTGAAATTCAGGAAAGTCCAAACCTCTACTTCTGGGCCCTTTGAAGTGTGTTTGAATTTGTGACGGTATTTTCTTGCTGAATTTTCCATTCACTTCTTAGCCTAAAGTTTGAGGCATTTCTAAATTATTTCATTTGAAGAGTTAGTTGAGAGGTCAAGGCAAATCCTTGCATGCATTTTAGTGAAGTGCAGTCTCTGGGTTAGATTTCCTTCCTTAAGTATTTTACCACAACTTAATCAAGCCTCGTGTTTAATAATGCAGTGAAATAAAAAGAAACATTTGGGAAACCCTTCATGGGCAATTTAAGACAGCTGACAAGGTGAATACTAGATTTTAATCTTAGGGGAAGCCTAACGACCCACAATAGGCCGGGAACCCTAATCAGACCCATATTACTGATCCAAATTAAAACCTGGTAAAATCTCTGAAATTTACTACAGTTAAAATACTTTCCAGAAAACAAATACCATCGATGACAAATATTACTATTTCTTATGAATACATACATGTATATGTATGTATGTATGTACAATTTAAAAATGCTTTCTTCCAAGAAAAGAAGCTGACCTCGGTGTTAGGGTATCTTCATAGTTTGCCCAGATTCTGACCACCAGACTATGCTTTATAAGCTGCTTTAAAAAAAAAAAAAAAAAAAAAAGTTTACCTATTTAAAATGATTTCTACACATTTCTTTAAGTTGGAATAAACCTTTTCACTAAAAGTTTTGTGTGAATTAGGTCATTTTATTTTGTTCAAATTGAGGAAACATTTACTGCAAATAGGATTATTTTTCTAGAGGCAGCTTTGTTTTCTAGAAACATCACTATTCATATACATTTAAGTAATAATATTAAGCTCAATAATGTAAGTTAATAATTACATTCTCATTAGCAAGTGATGTCGGTTTTTAGGGTACCTTGTAAAAGTTACCTTTTTTTTTTTCCCCCACAGCTTCCTTGGGCAAATAGGCAAGTACTGTATTTATCTTCAGAGGAGGAATTGAGGTGAGAGGCAAAGGGCCATGATATTGCAGTGACTGGTAACCCCAGCAAATGTAATTCATATGGGAGGGTTCCAATCTGCTGTGTGCCCCAATAATCTGCCACGGTGCAGTTATTTCTTCGAGTATAGTCTCAAAGTATAATGGATAAAGCAATAAAGGCCTGACCATTATCTCTGCAAGGCCAAAAAGTTCCTGAATCTATTCTAGCCTGTTTAAATTAACAAATCATCTTGTTAAATTCTTACCTTGCTGGTTAAAGAGAGTTTGGCTCTGGCCTTACTATACTAACAGTTTTTAAGAGGTAGTTTTGCTGCTGTAACTGAAAAGAGTTAGTTATCAGATCTGATAACTGACTCGGTGGAGTACATAGAAGGGGCTCCAGGTTCTGACAGCTGTCAGATACATGGCAGTGAAGTCCCTGAAGTGGGTCCTTAGATGAGAAGACTTCATTGATGTTTGAAGATAATCTACCTAAAAAAAATTTTTTGGCTTCCTACTTTTGATGTGAATAGAGTACAATGAAAAAACCAAACCCATTGCCTTCCAGTCGATTCTGACTCATGGCAACCCTTTAGATCCCTGGTGGTGCAGTGGTTAAGAGTTTGGCTGCTAACCAGCTGCTCCTTGGAAACCTTATGGGGCAGTTCTACTCTGTCCTATAGGGTCACTGTGAGTTGGAACTGACTTGATGGCAATGGTTTTATTTATTTTTAAGAGCACAATGCTGAAGTCACAGAGCTAGCTGCCAGGGAGAGCCACCAGAGGAGAGGATCCAAACCAAAAAAAACCGTTGCTGTGGAGTGGATTCTGACTTACAGTGACCCAATAGGACAGAGTAGAACTGCCTCATAAGGTTTCCAAGGAGCAGCTAGTGGGTTTGAACTGCTGACCTTTTGGTTAAGCAGCTGTAGCTCTCAACTACTGTGCCACCAGCACTACAGAGAAAAAGATACCTCACTGGAACTTTGCTTTTTTCATAGGTTCTTTGCACCAGAAATTTTCCAGTTTATCCTTAGAGACAATAACTCATCCTACAAATTGCATGAACTAAAAAAAAAAAAAAATCATCTGTTGAGTATGAAAGTTGTCTTAAATAGACACAGTACTATGCCCTAAAGGCTAACAGTCAAAATAATATGATTCACAAAGAACTGCATTCTAGATGCCTGATATGAATGTTCCTTGAGCAAAAACATCATTTTATTCTTTTTCATTATCTCTCTTATCCATGGACACTATCAACAGAAGGTCATGCAAAGATTCCACTTTTCACAGGGGACATGATTGATGTCATAAGTTTTCAGACAATGAGTCTTCCTTTCTATGGCTTCCACAAGATCAAGGCATGATTTACCAAATTCAGACTTGGAATCATTCTAGATTCATCTAGATGTATCTACAGCACCACTATTTTTGGCGATGTAATTTTGCTTTTAACTCCACTGTAGTGCTCTGAAAGGAGCCCTGGTAGTGCAGTTGTTAAAGCAATCGACTGCTAACTGCAAGGTTGGAGGTTCGAAACCACCAGTTGCTCTGTGGGAGGAAAACGATGTGGCAGTCAGCTTCCGTAGAGATTTACAGCTTTGGAAACCCTGTGGAATTAACTCGATGGCAGTGGGTGGGTAGTGCTCTGAAAGGAGCCCTGCTGGTGCAGTGGTTAAGTGCTTGCCTGCTAACCAAAAGTTTGGCGGTTCGAACCCACCAGTCACTCTGGGAGAAAAATGTGGCAGTTGGCTTGGGTAAAGATTTACAGCCTTGGAAACCCTATGGGGCAATTCTACTCTATCCTATAGGGTTGCTATGAGTTGGAATTCCACTCAATGGCAATGGGTTTGGTTTGGAGTAGTGCTCTGAAGTAGAGGCTATTTTTCTCCCATACTCTGTACCATAAGGCCAAGATGTTGGGCTATAGAGAGTGGGTGGCCTTTTTGTTCCTGATTACTTTTTCCAAACTATTTCTCCTCTTTCCTCCTTCAAAACATTTGAAGTTCATATCATCTGACTAAATCATCCTCTACCTCTTTATGCCTATCGTTTACCAACCTCTTGACTACTCTCCCTCAGAAACTATGGACTGCTGCTCCTTGATGTAGGTTTTCCTCACCATCCCAACTCTTGACTACAGTGTAAGTGATTTCAGCATCTTAGAGATGACCTATCTAATATGCAACGTCTTTGACCTCCTCATCTGCAACGACTTGCTCCTTTATTCCATCTCATCCACCCATTCCAGTGGTAAGACCATGAACCCTGTCATCAGTGACTGCTTTACCTCCTAAATCTCAATTTCAAGCATCCCAATTGTCAGTTACTACCCTCCCCCCACCCAGGCCATTTATTGTACTCTCACTGGCCTAATTGATACCTTTAGACCATTAACACCAGTGCTTTTTCAGAATCTATTATCCCACTCCTACCTTCATATAATCATTTTCCATCTAACCCAACTTAGATTCCCTAGTCAATCATTATAATCACTCTTGCAAACATCTTCAGTTCTCTTGCCCCAATGTCTCTCTCTGTCTTTCTTGCTTGGAAGAACCTTAACTCTGTTTGAACTGAAGTAGTTGCTTCCAGCAAACATTGCTGGAGAAAATCATACAGCAGGGTTGACTGGTTTTCATTCATGACCTCCAACCTCACAGGAGCTCTCAATACTGGCTGGCAATGCTGTTCTATCTCTGGACTGACCATTCATACTTTTGCATCTCTTCTCAAATCTCTCACACCCCATTCCTCCACCTCTTTCATTTTCAGCTGGTGACCTTGCCTCATACTTGAGAAAATAGAAGCCATCTTCAGCGACCCACTTCTCTACAGACTGCTAAATTTGCACTCATTTTCTCTTGTATCCTTGTTCAGTGGAAGATGTGTCCTATCAGAAATGAATTCCACCATATGTACTCTGGATCGGACTTGGTTCTTTCAGTCATCTTCTCTTTCCTGCATCACTAGTCTGTCTCTCTATTGGATATTCCCATCAGCCTACAGAATACCAAAACCCTTTTAAATACTCTCTCTGAATTTCATTGTGAGATATTCTGAATTAAAACAAAACTTGGTGCTTTATTTTGTGTTACATTCATCCAATATAAAATTTTTTTATTATCTTCTCTGTTGAAACAGGTATTAAATTTTTTTTTAAATTGTACTTCAGGTGAAGGTTTACAGACCAAATAGTTTCTCATTAAACAGTAGTACTGATATTGTTTTATGACATTGGTTAACCCACGACATGTCAACCCTCTCCCTTCTCGACTTTTTTTTTTTTTT